TATTTTGTAGGAATTTGCAGAATTGTAACAATTTCAGAGCTTATTAGACCACTACGAAAACAATGGAGTCGGATCGTATTTTAAAACCAAATATTTTAAGCCCAAGACCAAGTTAGAGGAAATTTAATTTGGTGATTAAGGCCTTAAGGGCTCGATTTAATGAAGAGGTCTAAAGTTTTAATGCTTAATTATTATCATGGACCAATCAAGTGTTGCGGACCAAGTATGAAGGAAATAAGTAATGGCCCAAATCAAAAGAAGACATGAGGCCCATTTCCAGCTCTAGCTTACCTGGCCCGGTCAGGCGGATTAATTAAGTGAAAATTATACCCTACATCCTAGTGTAGGATGGTCTACCTACACCCCCTGATGCTACGCCGTTTTGTAGCTTGCGGGGAGTACTCACGAGCTAATTCATGCTTCAATTCTTTCCTTTTTTTTATTTATTTTTTTAATTCCTTGTTTCTTATTATTCAAGCTATGTATATAAATGATTTTAAACCCAATATTTTCTCTCTCCTCAATTGATCAATTTCCATTTTTCTACCTACATTCTCTCTAGTTAATTCATCTTCTTCATTTGATTTTATACTAATTTTGCCGTTTATTTTTCCTACGATTTTGATAATTGTTGTTGATCATCAATGGCTGATTCTTCCTCTGCTAATTTCGATCGTGATTACGAAAGTGTGTTTCCGTCTTCTAGAGTTCGATTGATTGATTCGTTTGTTCATCAACAATGTGAGTAATTACAATCATAATTTTGTAATTTTTATCATCAATACATTGTTGTGTTATAATGCTCTGTTTATTTCAACTTAATTTATGTATTATTATTCTTTTCGTTGCTTCAATTTTCAAAATTTGATTATGATTATGATGAGCGTTTTTGGATTGTTCATACTTTGTTATGAATATTTCGCTGCTTCAATTTATTTCATTGCTCTATGTTTGAAAATTGCGTGATTTTGTTTTTATGCTTTTTTTTTTTTTTGGATCATTTTTATATTTAAAATTAATCAATTATGTGTTATCATTTGTACTTCTTAATTTTTTTATGTCATATATGATTATTTGTTTTTACCATTTTTTCTTGATAATATTATGTGTCAAAATTTTCCATATTGATCATGTGCAATTTTGCTATTGAACATTGTATTTGTTAATTATTGTTCATTTTTGAAACATGTTATGTTCATTTATAATTGTACATTAAAACTTTGTGCAATGAGAAAAAAAACTGATATTTCATATCTTGCTAAGGTTTTGATCTTATCTGTTTATTTAAGTGTTTGAAATTGAACATTTATATATTTTAATATGATCATTTAACTTTTATTTGAAGGCGAAGGATTTAGTGTTTAAAGGATTTAATATGATCATTTTTTGAAACTTGTTATGTTCATTTATAATTGTATATTAAAACTTTGTGCAGTGGGAAAAAAAGCTGATATTTCATATCTTGCTAAAGTTTTGTTTTTCTTATCTGTTTATTTAAGTGTTTGTAATTGAACATTTATATATTTTAATATGATCATTTAATTTGTTTTGCAGTCGAAGGATTTAAATATTCCTATAAATAAAAGTGTTGCTGGTGTTTCTGCTGCTCAAGCTCAATGTAATGTTCCTATAAATAAAGGTGGTGCTGGTGTTAAAAATGATGCTCAAGTTAATCCAAGAGTACTAATGCGTCTACAAAATCTCAAACTAGATATTTTGTTCCACCCGTAGTTCTTGGCATTGTTCCAACTTCAACTCAGGATTGTTCAACCTTCAATCTAGAAATGTTTAAACCCCATTCCAGAAATGTTCAATCGACAAATGTTTAAGTTATTCCTCCCACGGTTCCAATAAATGATCAAGGTGCTCTTGTTCAAAGTTCTTCAAGTGTTAAAGACATAAGAATTTGTTTCTATATAGTACCTTTTTTAGTATATTGTTTTTTTAAAATTCAACATATGTAAATGATTATTTATCAATTTGAAAATGAACAAAAGTAAAGAACCAACAACCAATTCATAAAACCTAAAAATTATATATATTTTTTCATACAAATAAAGATTAAAATGAAATATCAATTACAATAATTTTTTTAACAAATAATATCTATAAGTCTATTTTCCTCCAAAAAAAATCATCTATAAAACTATATACTTCCTCCGTTTTCTTTTACTTGCAACACACCTTTTAGGCACGCAATTTTAGGAGATGATTAGTGAGGGTAAACGAGCTATTTTATCAATATAATTTTTACACGGAGATTAGAATAGGGTTAAGTATCATTTGTAAAAATTATAATGAATAATTTATCCGTTTACATTATATAAACCCGACCTCAAAACACGTGCCACAAGGCTGTGTTGCAAGTAAAAAGAAATGGAGGAAGTTTAAGATATGATCATATACACATTCATTAATGAACATATACACTTTCATAAATGAACATATAACATGTACTATTCATTTGCAAACTTCCTTGCTTATCTTCGATTTAACCTATATTTAGTGTTTTTCTTCAAATAGCATCAGTTCCGCATCCTTGCTTCCTAATTTGGTTCACCTGTTGAACAAAATGAATTAACAAATGTTAATTATTATATACACTACTTTATAAATGAACAATATATCTTACATTATTAAACATTTATCACTTTTACACTATTTGGTTTCAAATCACAAATCTAACTCTCATTAAGTTTAGTAGTGAATGTTTCTATATGCTTCATAATTTATACTCCGCAGTTTGTATAATCAGCGTTGTTAAGCCATTTTATCTTCTCCAAAACAACTACGTATTCTTCAATTCCATGTGCAAATTTATATCAAATGTGTAACTTTGGACATCACTACAATATAGCTAGATTGGTTGTAAGATATTAGTTTTAATGCATACAAATGAACATTATCAATATTATACATGAGGATAATGTATAAAAGAAATGAACATTCGTTATTTAGGCATATAAATATATATGTAAACTGAAATGAACCAATATTAACATATATTTTAAAATGAACATTACTTTATATGTAAATGAACATTATGAATTTCATAAATGATCAAAAGATTTGATAGAATAAATAAGTCAGTTTCTCAACTCAAATGAATGATTATTTATGCATTTCATAAATGTGCATAACATATCATAAAAATGAACATTATTTATTTAGGCATATAAAGTCAAATATAAACTCAAATAAATTCAAATATACAAATGAACATTTATAATTCTATATATGTTCATATATTAACTCGGAATCGTAGAAATGTTAACATCTATACCATAAGACTTTTTAATATCTTTTAAAAGTTCTAGATCTACAACTTGAGACTTTTGTTCGTTGTTTTTTTTTTTAAAAAAAATTTCTACTCTTGTTTAAATAGGTTTTTGAAATAATACTTACGTTTCTTCAGACTATGCCTTGTTATGTTCAACGAACATGATTCTTCTCTGAATCATCATTCTCTTTATCTCTCTAATTCGAAATATATTTTTCGGTTCTGTAAAAAATAAAAATAAAAACACAAAACATAGTAGATTTTAATGATTTTTGCATAAAATAGTTCTAATCAAGTTAGATTATGTTTCTGAACATGTAATTTCAAAATGAAATACGTAGTAGAAAAAATAGGTTCATACAAAAAAATTTAGTAAAATTACTTACTCTTTCTGTGAATGTTGTTGCGATTGTTGAATTTCTTCGCAAATGTAGACATTTGAAGGAATTTAGCAATATTTTGAAGCAATTTCGTAGTATTTTGAAGCAATTTTGTAGTATTTTGAAGCAATTTTGGTTCATATTTTCTGGTTTTGATGAGAGAGAAAGTCTAGAGAAATGAAGAAGAAGGTTTTAGAGAGAATGGTGGGTAGTTACAGTAGGTTAGTGGGTTATGGGATGTGGGTAACATGATAAACGCATCGTTTAGAGGGGGGTGTAGGTATCCCTACCTACACTAGGGTCTAGTGTATACCAATTATTAATTAAGTGTCACGCTATTCAGTTTTTTTGGGCCTGCGAAGTAATGAGTTTGCTAGGAGTTTGAGTGGGATTAGGGAGTTGACTTCCATTTTCTCATATAAGGGAGTAGTAGTAGTAGATACGTGGGAGTAGCTTTTAATTACTAGTTTTTCTTAGTTTAGTTTTAAGTTTTTATTAGTTTATATTTAGTTTTATTTACTAGTTTTTTAGTTTTTAATTTAGTTTTCTTTTATCTTTCTCTCTCTAACTTTTCTCTATCTCTCCTCTTAATTAAACTCTTAGTATTTCTTTCTCTTTTGTTTCTCTCTCTACAACTCTTGGTTTAATTCTATCCTTTATTTAATCTCTTTCCTTGATCATGTCTTGTTTAATTGCTTTGTTTAGTTTATATTTATTATGTGTGAGTAGTTTTCTTTCTAGGGTTTGTGGGGTTCCATAAGTAATATGAAGGGGTAATTTATTGTTGTTGATTGTCAATGCTTAATTAATTTCCTTGATTGATTTAATGCTCTGTGACTAGATTCGGCCTGATCTTTTATACATGAGTTTGACAATATTGATTCGTGATTCGACAGATGAGAATTGATGTTTAGGTCTAGTTTCAATAGGCATGTTAATTTATAAATGGTTGAGTCGAGATTCGAAAGATGAGATTTAATACCGGTAAATTAATTGTGTGATTGTAATACGTAGAGAAAGCCCTTTATGATCTGATTAATGTATGCATTGATGATTGATTATTATGTTTTACCCTGGAATATTATTTATTGGTGAACTTATACCCTAGGTCTTTTATTCATTGTTTCTCCTACTTTTATTCTTTCCCACTTTTACTCTTAGTAGTTTAGTTTCCTTCGATTATTATATTTTGGTTACTTTATAATCTAGATTATATTAATTAATTAGGAATAGAAAGACTCGTTTCTCTGTGGATTCGACCCTACTTCCCTATCTACATTAGTTAGAGGATTTAGGAATTACTTTTGATTAGGGGATACGACTTTACCCTGTCAGTAACAATGTCATGTTTGGTATGGGTTTTATTCTTAATGAGCGCACCGAGTCTTTTGATTGGTTGTTTGACACATTTTTGCACTCAATGGGGAGGAAAAGTCCCATTACAATTATGACTGATCAAGCACAAGCGATTGCAGCGGGTATAAGAAACATTTTTCCTTCAACTGTTCATCATCGTTTATGTGTATGGCATCTTGAACAAAATTCTAAGAAACACATTGGAGCATTGAGAGCTTTGGAAGGCTTTACAGATTTGTTTGGATATCTTTTGAAGTATTGTGAAACTCCTGCTGAATTTGAATATTTCTGGAAAAGGTAAATTATTGTTTTTTGTTTTTTGTATTTATTTTTTATTTTTATTATGTTATATATTTGATTATTATGTGTTATATATATGAACATTTAGTGTTTTACATATGATCATACAGTTTTTTCTTTTTTTTTTTTTGTATGTTATCATAATATTATTAGTGTCCATATTGTTTATGATCATTATTCTTTATACAAATGTACATATTTTAATTTATATTTTGTTCATTTTTCAAATAATATATGATCATTTCTGTTATATAGGATGTGTGATAAATACAAATGTGAAAATGATGATTGGTTATGTGATTTGTATAAAATAAAGGAAATGCGGTGTCCTGCTTATTCTAAGAAGTATTGGTCTGGTGGTATATTGTCCTCTCAACGTAGTGAAACTACTAATAAGTCAGTTTCACAACGTCTTAATAAGACTCAAGGTTTATGTGATTTTTATCATGTTTTTCTTGATGTCATTTCTGAGTGGAGAAGTAAGGAAGGTGGAAGAGATTACAATACTTTGAGGGGTAATAGGCACCTAGCTTTTGCTAATGTTGTTATATTAGTTCATGCAAGATCAGTGTACACTATTCAAGCTTATGTGCTTTTTGAAGAGGAGTTCATTAGGGGGACAGCTTATGATCATGTTGATAATGGTTTGCGTTTTCCAGAATATTCATATCTTCTTTGGAGGCCTGGGAAGGATATAATTAAGCATGAAGTTGTTTTTAATAAGGAAACACATGCAGTTTGTTGCACATGCATGTACTTTAGTGAGACTGGTTTACTTTGTTCTCATTCTCTTCGAGTATATCATTTGCATTGTGTGCATAATATTCCACAAGAGTATATAATGAAATGATGGACAAAGGCTGTCATGTGTAGTCATGGTATTGAAGAACCTACTTTGAGGACAAATGTTGTGGCTACTAGTGTTTGGAGGTCACAAACAATCAGAAAGTTTGTGAAGTTGATAACAAGTTGTCAGAATTCTTTGAATGCAAGGGCAGAGGTTGAGTGTTATTTCAATCTGTTAAAAGAAAAGGTTGCGAGCGTATCAGGTGTAATTGACTTTAGTGAACCTGTTAAAGAGGTTGAAATTGTTGATCTTGAGATCAAGAATCCTCCAAAAGCTAGGCCTAAAGGTGAGAGGAATGTAAGGCCTAAGAGTACCTTGGAGAAGCAGTGCAACAAGGCAAAGGGTAATTTCAAGAGGAAAAATTCTATGTACACTCCTTACAAAAGGGGTATAGGGCAAGCAGTTGTACAGGCATATGATCATTTAATATTTTCAAATTGATCATTTCAGTTATCGTAAATGATCATTTATGTTTGTTTTTTTTAATAGGAACTTGATGAGAACGGTTGTGATGTTACTTATGCTAATTCTATTAGTGATCACACTGAATTGATTGTTTTGAGCAATAAACGGTCTCAGGTAAATTCAAATGTGCAAAAAAAAAAAAAACAGTTTATTTATATTTTATTAATATTGGTTTTTATAATGTAAAAATATAGGTTGGCTTTAAATCAGCTGTTGTAGAAGAAATTCCTTCTAGTTCTAAGGAATCAGATCAGAGTATTTCTAATGATTTTGATCAGGTATGTTTGTTTGTTATTGATTATAAATTTATTTTATTTTTTGGCATTTATGATCTATATTATAATTTTTTTATTTAATTTTATATTTTTTTTTATTTTTTTTTGGTTTTTTTGTAGGCTACTAGTGAAAGCCCTCTTTCATCCAGCATATCTATTGATGTTGATATTTCATCTATTGCAAAGGTTTTTTTTTTCCTTATTTGTTTGTATAAGTGTTTGTAACTAATCATATACTGGTTTATTAATGATCAATTTAATTTTGTTTAAAGGCGAAGGATTTAAATCTTGTTGAAGGTGTTTCTGTTGTTCAAGCTCGTTCTAATGTTGGTGCAAATAAAGGTGCTTCTGGTGTTAAAACTTACTCTCAAATTAATCCAAGAGTTCCAATTCATACTAGTGTGTCAACAAAATCTCCTGCTGTTATTCAACCTACTGTTCCCAGGAATGTTCAAAATCCAACTCAGAATTGTTCAAACACCAATCCAAAAATGATCATATTCAACTCCAGGAATGTTTTATCAACAAATGTTCAAGTTATTTCTCCTACGGTTCAAAAAAAATGATCAAGGATTTCGTGTTCAGAATGTTCAAGTTATTATTCCTCCCACAGTTCAAAGAAATGATCAAGGTGCTCGTGTTCAAATTCTTCAATCAAGAAATGATCAAATAGGTTCTAAAAAGATTTCTTCTAAGTATGATAGGTTGTTAGCCTTTTTTGATACAAGTGTAGCTAAACGTTTGGCTAATAAAGATAAATAAGTTAGTATTTCAGAACTTAATAAACATTAGACTTTTTTGTAATGTTGATTTAAGTACTATTTTATAATTTTGAATTTTCGATCTATTATGTAAAAGACATAAATATTATATTTTATATAGTACTATTTTTAGTATATTTGAACTTTATATTAGAATTTTATATGTTTTTAAAATTCTACATTTATCAATGATTATTTAGTCATTAGAATTTTATATGTTTTAAAATTCTACATTTATCAATGATTATTTAGTCATTTGTATATGAACAAAAGTAAGAACCAACATCCAATTTATAAAACTTATAAAAAACTTTCATCCAAAGATTAAAATGAGATATCAATTACAATAATATTTTTAAAAATAAAATCTATAAGTCTATTTCTTAAAAATAAAAAAATAAAAAATAAAAAAATAAATAAAAACAAAATACAGTCTATATATAAGATATGAACATATACATAGTTGTAAATGAACATTTGAAACTACAAAGTTGCAAACTTTCTTGCTTTCCTTCTATTTGCTCTTGATTCAGTGTTTTCTTCAAATAACATCAGTTCTGCTGTGTATTGGAGCCTTAGCTTCCTAATTTGTTCCACCTGTTGAACAAAATGAATTGTCAAATTTTAATTAAACAATCTTTACTGTTTCATAAATGAACATTATATCTTAAATAATTGAACATTTATAACTCTTAAATTGTTTGGTTTTAAATCACAAATCCATCTCTCATTAGGATCAACAGTGAAGGTTTCCATATGCTTCATAATGTAAACTCCACAGTTTGTATAGTCATCGTTGCTACGCCATTTCATCTTTTCCAAAACAACTGTGTAGTCTTCAATTCTATTTGCATCTTCATATCCAAGGTGTTTCATGTACTCTGCCAATCCTTTTAACTAATAGAAGCAAGAGTAAAAATTGTTTAGAAGTTGGTATTGTGATGAAGACATGAACAATTAATAAAATATAATTGATCATGTAGCCAAGTATAAATGAACATATTATCTCACCATCATTTTTTGTTGTTCTTCATATTTTGCTTGGACTGATACATGTTTTGGTAGTTTTCTATTGTCAATTATATGAATTTTGTCTTCTATATGATTGACGCACAACAGAAAAAAATGTTGAGAAGTTGATACTGGGAAGAAGACCTGAACAAATTATATAATGTTATTGGACAATATATTGAATGTATTTGAACATTTGTATTAAACAAGAATTAATATTTGTTTATATCCAACAATGCTGTCAATTTTATTCAACTTCAGTTCATTGTCAATTCTTTCTATGAAGGCATTAAATCTTGTCTTCATTGATGATCCTTCTCGACAAACTCTATTTGTGCACATAATGTGCTGTTGAAATAGAAACAAACATATAGAAGTTAAATGAATTTTTAGCAATTATTTATCATAGGAAAATAGAATCAATAATAGAAAAAAAGAAGAAAGACTAACATGAAGCATTGTTGAGAAATAAATCTTGTTTCTCGGCTTTTTATGATTAAGAAACCTTGCCCATCCATCTATGGCACAATTTGTCACTTCAACATCATCTCCAAGAGTTTTCATTTCTTTTCTATTGATGAGATTCAAGCCATCATAGTATAAGAGTGCACTGCATTATGAACATTTAATAATATGAATGTGAACATATTTTTATAAAATATATTAAACCTTAAGTTTAATTAGTATAAGTAATTACCTTTCATCTTTTCCACCAAGAGCAAAGTCTACTGCAATTTGGTTCATGGCTTTCTCATCTTTAAACAGATCCTTGTACTTGACCAAGTAAGGAGATCGGAAAGCAGGAGGAATTGTTTGTTTTTCACGTTGTGGTCTTGTTGTTCAATATAAAATATTGTTAAATTAAGAAAATTATGAGGAATATAAATGAACATTTGAGTGTATATAAAAAAATTTGAAATTATACCTTTCAACCTTTTCCTTTCCAGTTTTTTTCTTCTTTTCTGCAATTGACTTTTTCTTTTCATCATTCCTGATCATATTACATAACACAAATGTACATTTAGGTATATGAAAATGTTCATTATTATTTTTGAACATTAACTTAATATAAATAATGTACCTTTGTAACACCCCCGATTTACTATTAACAATAAACAATAAATAAAAGAAAAACAAACAACCTTTAAATAAAATTGCGGAAGCATACACCTAAATCGGAGGTATTACCGCCACACTCAACAACCTGTCAAGTGTTAAGGCTTACAAAAATCCCAATAATTACAACCCAATAAACTAGGTGAGCTATTTATACAACTTTATAAACTCATGACATCACACTAATCGAAACACTTGAGCTCCTTTAGCTACGACCACTTGATCAACCTGCTTAGAAAATCTTGACTGCTCACCATTAAGGACAAATTCCAAAATAGATCGTCGCAGGGCCACCATAAGAAAAAGATATGGCCGCAAACACAAATAGCACAACAAAATAACACACACGCGTCAGCAAAAAGCTGAGTAATCACCACATATCAGAATACAGAGTATATTAGGATAATCAACGTTACTAGCTCAATTAAATAATGTATTTCAAAACTACATAACACATTGTACTCTGAAAATAACCTTTAACAACTCAACCTCGATTAATAGTTCGAACCTTTACTCAATCAACTCATATAACCCATAAGTGTGCCATGCTCGTTGTTCTATACCTAGCCTTGGACATGGGTAATTCGAATAAAACCAACAAGTATAAAAACTTGAATACTCCCAATAACTAGAAAACACCTTGAACCAGACCACATACGGGTCAATTCCCACTGTAGGGGACCATAGAAAAATAAATATTAAAGATTGTACCTCATTCTTAACTCATGATTATTACCCTCTTACCAACAAGCCAAGGACTAAGTTATATAACGTCGAGCCTCAAACCAATACCAAAATAATAATCCTCAACCTTTTGATCTCATACATCGATCAAATAATTATTCATAAATAATAAATAGTATCTCGATAATGGCACATGTTCCCAATTAACATGACAATTCGATTCATAATATCTCAACTCTTAAAACACATACTAATAACCCAAATATAATCATATCTCAACCCAAAAATAATACTCTGCATTAACAACCCTAAAACCTCGATAAAACAATACTCCCTAAAACAACATTAAAACCCTAGAAATAGAAACACAATCAATCAATATAATCAATAATACAACAAAATAATACGACAATTAAATCATATATCACGACATATTATCAATATATACAATAATTGATCATATGAATAAAAATTGTATAAGCCTACACATAATAAGACGAATTATAACACACCCAACTCCAAGAAAAGTTCGTGTGATTACCTTCTGAAAATAATTAAGCAAGGCAAGGTAATTCCATAATCAACAATTGACGCAAAAGATACTCCACCAGTCCACCATCACAATTAAACGCACAAAACTTGTACTTTTGGGGAAAAGTGATAATAATGGGCTTGATCAAGAGTTATCATTAAGATAAATGCTAATCATATGAATTCATAGATATTATGACTGCTGCTAGCTATAAGCCTGTTGAGTCCCTTAGGTTTTGATTGATAGTTTTGAATGATGACAAACAGCTAAGGGAAACAGGTCCTTGAAAGTGTTCGATACAGTTAGGGGAACCAGCTAACATAGAACACTGTTTCCCCAGACAAGTTATTACTTACATGAGTTTTCTTATTGAACTAACTTGTCTTTATACAGGGAACAGTTATATGGTAAAAGTGTTATGTACTGGTAGGGAACCAGTATGTACTGTTTCCATGGTTGCTACGTGGTACAGCAGTCACATACTCTTTATTGTGCATTAACCATGTTACATGTGCAGTAGTTGAGTTGATTCCAAGACTTGGAGCATAGAAGCCTTTCGAAGATATTTCGAAGAAAGATTGTTTGCTCATAATAGAAGTATTCAAGGAAGATTCAAGTCTTGAAGATTACATGAAGAAAAGACGATTTATGCTTTAATATGTTATCTAGGTTTTCATGTAATATGCTCCGTAGTATGCTTGCATGTTTGGGTTATATAAGTGCTTAAAAGTATATTGAAGTATGATATGAAATCTGGTACAAAGTTGGAACAGGTTTCATAACATGTTTCAATTCAGGGAACCAGGTTGGGGAACCAGGTTCACTGTACGAAATATTCGAGCTGCCGTTTTGGAAAAAGATTTTACAAAAAGATTTTTTTTCGAAAAGATTATTTTGAAAATATTTTGTGCAGCTGGAAATAAGATGAAATATTCTTGGTTACCTAAAAACTAGGAGTATTTATCTTAATTGATTCTATCTTTGTGATTAAATCAAATAAGATAAATACTTTCCTAAAATTACAATATATCTTATTCTCTAAGATTGTGTGATTTAAGGAAACTAGGTTTTAGGAATCTAAGCTTATATAAACTCATCTTATTTCACATATTTCGTGTGCCTCTCCAGAAATTAAAAGAGCAATTATTTGAGAGCATATACTTAAGCACTAATCCCATTCATCAAGTCATATACAAGAGCATTCTAGTACTTAAATATTTTCTCTTAATTAGCTTCGTAGAAGTGAGATCAAAGGGGAGTTCTTGATTCTTGTATTGAGTCTTTAACAAAGGGGTTAAAGGCTGGGTGAGTGTTTGTGAGTTCAAACACATTGGGCTTACGAGTGTAAGTCGAGAGCACACTCGGAGTAGAGTGTGGGGTTTGCTGGTTCCCGGAGTAGGGAACAGCAGAGTGTTCTTTGTCTTTGTTTTTCGGAGTAGATTAATAAAGAACTTAGGATAGGAGGACGTAGGCCTGAGTTGGCTGAACCTCGTTAAATTTGTTGTGT